CGTCGGCTTCCGCCCTGTTATGCTTGAAATGCTCAGCTACACTGGGATCAAGCGGGTCATCGGGCTGAAACAAAGACATATTACACTCATGAGAAGTAAACGTCACTACCTCAGGGGAGGATAGCAATGCTTGAATGGAGAGTAGGACGGTCCTCATTTGAAGTGCCGGGGACCATTTATCCTTGAGGATATCCAAACATATACGACCCAACTTGTCGATATTGGGATGATATATCTTCGTTAGGAAACGGACCTTTCGAGAGGGAGATACCAACCGACTACGACTGAGGCGGATTGCACCCACCTTCGGAGGCTCCATGGGATACCCCTCGGGTAAAAACATCTCCAACTTGTAATAGCCCTTCTCATAGGGGGTGCCATCAGGTCCTTCTAACTCGATATGGAAGTATCGACTGTTCTTGGGATCAGGAACAGCATATAAACCCGGGGCTGAAATAAGAAACATCTTTGATAACCAGCGAAGACACGCTCGACCTCAAGATACCCACAAATCTCTATACTGCGCGCCCGTTATTACGAGGATCATCCCTGAGCTTCTGCGTCTCCTTTTCGATGCGTTTGGTGATAGCCATGAAAATATCACTGATAGTAGACTCAGAATTCCTCGATGCTTCGACTATGCGCTGATTGCCTCCCGAGTATCATCTCAATAGCGGGAGACAACCGGGAGCTTATCACGAGCTATGCCCGAAGGAGACGGCACTAACCAGGCAGTACTGGTTGCTCCCAGAAGGCAAACTGATACCACGCCTCGCACAACGCGACGCTCTTCAAATAACGCATCTACTGCGGCTGCTCATCAGCGTGACTCAAGTAACGCTAGGGCCAACGGGGGGCTGCTTCACACAAAACGTCAGTTGTGACTCATTTTAGAGGCGGAGCGAAGCTCTGTCGCCACGTGCTACCACTACGCAAATGCCCTCGCCCCCTTAAAATCTCAAAAGACTATGTGAGGGTACTACACCCGAGTCACTTGAACCTGCTCGGGGATACCCTTGGGGAGTCAGATGGTAGGACTAAGGCCCTGTCCCCATTGCGCAACATGATAAGGACTCCGGCTCCTCCATGGTCCAGTGGATGATGTCCCTCCTCCATTGTCGATATGATAGCCACAGTCGTACTTTTCTGTGCGTTTTATGCTAGAGGTGGTGCGGTCACGAAGTCGATCTGAGGGTGCCTAATCGTTGGCACGAACACTCAACAGGACGAACAACTTGGCGCACGCCCAAAAAACATAAAAAGAACCTCGTTCGCCCTAAATTCCTCTTAATGCCCGGGTCTCATTTCAATCACGGTTCAAGTCCTGAAATAAGATACAAGTCCGAATTAGGTAACAGGGCCACAAAATCTACTTGCCTCCACTAGAGTCATGTGTAACAGACGTTCAGCACTAGTTGGAGCTGAAGTCACTCCACCTATGGGCCTGGGTGGATGCGGTAAGGCGGATCATCAGCGAAGTATATGCTGACGCTGTCATGTATGATCGCGGTGACGCATGGTATCGGAAGCCTGAATATGTTGCGCTTGACGCCAGGCTGCAAATTCTTTGCGGCCGTCCGGTTGACGAACCTGATCTCCATTAATGGTTCAAGCTCGCCCGTGGAGTCGTCAGGGGAGGCTCCCCTGGGGAGCAGTCAAGCACGCTGCTCAGTGCAATAACGACGATGTCGACATCAACTCCGATGATGATGATGATGATGATGATGATGATGACGGTAGTGCAGAGCAGGAGTTCGGCCACGGTGACGATTTGAAGCCTAGCCAGAACAGCTCCACTCAAGTTGGAGGCGATCATTCTTCGCACTGCCCGGGGAAGTGTCAGCGGGTGGATATTACCAGCCAGGATGTGACACTTGAGTCCCGCGCACCGGTGTCCCCTGATGACGAACCTCCTCAGCCTTCTGTATATTCTGATGCTGGTCTATCCTCTTCAATCGTGGACTTATTTCACAAGACTGGTAACCATCGTTCCCAACCATCACCAAGCGCATCGACCGGTAAGGTTGAAGGTGCATCCCAAGGATCGGTGCCTCAGCGGCCTAAGCCAAACTCTCAGTGTTCGGCGGAGGAACCCAATGCATCAACAGAGGAGCTCGATGGATCGCCTGAGTGTAGGCCATCGTCCTCAACCGCGTCGCCTAACTGGTTGGTACATGATACTCAACTTGGCGAGTTCCGTCTCACTGTTCTGGATCGTCACGACTTAGCTTCACCTTGTACCGAAATTTCCGACATGGCTGTTGGTACCTGGATGGCCCTACTGGGTACTAGGTGCTTATGTTTGCTGCGGTTTCCTCCGATGGCTCCAGCATCATTAGAGGTTATGAAAACACAGCTTGAGGGCATCCCGAAGGCTCCTAGCCTCAGCAATGCACCCTCGATCATCCAACCCTTATACGACTATGGAGCTAAGCATTTTGCCCTCGCTGTCAGGAATCATGAGGGACTAGTGCTATATCTCGATAGCGCACTGGGTATGAACGCGATTCCCGGACCTATGCGTGAAGTGATGACCGCTATCTTCGGCAAAGGTACAAAGTGCGTATGTTTGCGCACACAACAGCAGACACCCGGATCTGCAAACTGCGGCCTCTTCACATTGGCGTGGGCGACAGAGTACGCCCTCCAACGAGCGACTGTCGATCCGGAGAAGGCCATCTACGATGAGGAAAAAATGCGGGATCATGCGGTTCGTTGTCTGCAGGAGAAGAGACTAAAGCCATTCCCACGAAAACGCGGAAGGCCCGGCAAAAACAACCGCCTTCAGGGCCGGATGGATATCGAGCTGTAAGTTGGAAGTGTTGGAAGTTTCTTCACAGTTTCGTGTGTGTTATTATGAGTGTGGATGTTTCTGAGCGTGAACGTCTTCTGTTGCGTTTCTCTGCTAGTCTTCGTCCAACTCAGTGTTCGTCCATTCGAGATGTTCGTCCATAGGACTTTATCGATTGTGTGGGCGTGCGCTAACATGTTCGTCCCTTTGATTGTTCGTCCATCTGATTCACAACCGATCTGAGTTGGTCTTCTGGAAAGTTTTGCGGCCCGTAGTAGATCATTCTTAGTGGCGCGCAAACCGAACGTCCTAAACGTCCCGGGCAGTCCGAGGAGAGTACGGAAGCTCGGTAGGTACAGGCATCGACCTTTCTAGAGTATTACCGGGTAAGCGTCTGTCTCACTATTAGAACAATAGCTCCTCACTGACCGAGAGCTGCTTTGGATGACAGAGTGGTATTGAGAACACCACTGGACTGTTTCTCGATTATTCTTGTGTTAAAGTTGCGACGAAAACACGCTTACTAGTTCTATGACCGATTGTCGTCTCATTCAGATAGGAGGTGGCTGGGCTGTTAATCATACTGCAGTGAATCTTGGCGACAGAGTTCCTCGATTGTCCTTCATTTTGCGCACACTGTGTGCTTGTCTTCATGCGTGAAAAGCTATAATCGATATAGCTGCACGTATGCACACGAATTCCGAAGTTGAACTTTAACCATCAGATATCGATGCCGGCTTGCTAATCCCTCCGTTTGCCTCCGACAGCCTTCCTGTGACTGTACGGTCCTTTTCCCCGGCGGGAACACTGATTTCACTATCGTTTGCCTCTGACTGCCACACTCTTGGCTGTTGGTCCTTTTCCCCGGTAGCGACAGATTTAATGCAACAACCACATACAAGCCGTGCCAATCTTGGTGTTTATGGTGTGACTTCTTCGAGGAAATCTTAAACAACACTTAGTCACTCGTTTTCCATCAATGCAATCTGACAACATCTGTGACTTTAGTCGACAGTTTGACACGCATCGGTATCGCAAGCCTTGTAGAGTCGCGCTACTGAGGTATATGCTGTGATTGCTCCTTGGTGAGTTTATCTCAACGATCCATCGCGGATCTCAGCAGTCAACTGGGTAGCAACTTATGTCCTAGCGGATGCACTCTTGCTACAAGCTAGAGTGTTCATCCGTGGGTGACTGGGCATGTGGGAAACAGGCGTTGACTCTGGCAACTCGACTGTGAAGTGTTAACAGCACTCAATATGAATTATCACTCTTGTACCTGAATTATGCAGACGAAATCGATCGCACATGGGATTAGGCATATCTCGGGGGGGGGGCTTAGCATAGGTGGATCGCCCGATGGAGCTGATTGTACTAAGGCATATATTGGGGTTATGGCCTGGGTGCCCCGCCCGATGGAATTGATTGTACTACGGCATATCTCAGGGTTATGGCATAGGTGCCCCGCCCGATGGAATTGATCTCACTGAGGCATTTCTTGAGGTTATGGCATAGGTGCCCCGCTCAATGGAATTGATTGTACTAAGGCATATCTTGGGGTTATGGCATAGGTGCCCCGCTCCATGGAATTGATTGTACTAAGGCATATCTTGGGGTTATTGCATAGGTGCCCCGCTCAGTGGAATTGATTGTACCGAAGCATATCTTGGGGTTATGGCATAGGTGCCCCGCCGGATGGAATTGATCGTACTGAAGCATATCTTAGGGTTATGGCATAGGTGCCCCGCGGCGGGGCCCCTGCCCGAGGAAACTGCTTCCACTGGAAACCGCTTGGTGAAACGAAGCGGCTTACTGTATCCAGTTGGACAGTATGTTTGCTCGAGCAGCACCTCACTGCCGGAACAAGGCGAATCAACGTTTTGGGAAGGCAGGTCGGCTCTCGCTGGCTTGGTGGCCGCTGCACTCGGTAGTGCTACTGACTTGGTCATAGTCAAGAGATGTCTCTCACTCAGAAAACATTGGGATCCCATTACACTCTCTTGGGTCTCCAGAGCTTACCTCGTTGCGTTGTAACCTTAGTGGAATGTGCTTCTGGTTAGTGTACCTATGCTCATGAGCGCCATTAGTGCGACGAGGAGTGAAAGTATAAGGTTTCCTGCTACGAGAGCTGTGCTGTGGGATAGAACCCTGGATGACCAGCATCAGCAGGGGCAGATGTAGTGTAGCGGTATTGTACCGGAGAGCTATCTTCTTCTCTTCCCAGCATGGTGTGCCTTGAGGACATACTCGGCCAACATCTAGTGTACATAGCAGGAAGTCTCGTGGAGACAGTGAAGAGTCGTGACAGCACTTCGTATTCCGCAGTGAGATCTGCAGCTTACTCGGGGGTTAGCCATTGCTCCAGATGATGAGATTCAAGCATAATACGAGAGAGGGGTTCCAGATGATCATAGAGACCCTAAATGACACGGAGCTTCCCCCTCAGGCAGTGAGAGTATGGACAGACCTCCCACCAGGTGATGATGGTGTAAGGTAGCGGAGGGCTCGACTGGGTTTCCTTAGGGGAAGCTTCGGAAGGTAGTGCACCTTCGAAGAGTGTGAACTGGGAAGCCTGTGTCGGTCTTGGAGATGTTTGCAGCTCAGGATGGACGATTAGCAGGGGGTGAGGCTGTGATTGTACTATGACTGCTGAAGGGCAGCTGCTGTGTGTTCGATCTGGATTTATTGCTCTACTAGGGGTTTTGTCTTGAATGCGACAATGATATGAGAATATTCTCACCTAGGGATTCTCACTATTCGCGAGCTGCAGTCTTTTACTCGTTCTAGTGCACACTGCCGAGAAATGATAACATGGGAAAGATCCGAACTCTTCCACAACTTGTCCGATCTGTTCTATAAGCGATAGTGGCTACGTCGGGCGCTACTTCCTGTTTTCCCAGTCGAATCGGCTCATTACTAAGGAAATACTGATAGATCATCGACTCTTTGGGAACACCGAGAAAGGAATTAGATACCATATTTTCATGTTCGACAGCATCCTGATGAGTCACTGTTTCGGGTTTTACCGTTGTATGAGGTCCATTACTGTCTCAGGGAGGCTGATGGCTCCGTCTACGTCGATCTCGAGACGTATTTTCCCCAAATGACGTTGAAGCCTCTGAAATACCCGTTGCGAGTTCTTCCTACCCCTTTGTCTGCTCGACTCATGTCAGCCGAGAGGGAATTCATCGGCGACTCTCTTGGGGAATATGGTGGGCCTCCGGTACTGTCTTTAGCCCGTGGTGTCACCGCCGTGCTTATTAGGATTTATCACACTAGATGCAGGCCGGAAATGCGTCTGCCTCCTAGTCGGCGACGAGCTTACGCGTGGGTCTTCCATACGCGTCGGGGGATGAATAGAGATTCTAGTGCAGGTACTATGCCGCTGGTCGGAGTATGGTGTGTCGCTGGGGACCATAGGGACAGAACAATGTAAGGGGAGCATAAAATCTGTGTCCTTCTTGCATTCTGTTGGATAGATTCACAGCAGTCGAGCACTACCAGCGGTCTGACCTTATTAAAGATAGAGTTCTCGCTGGTGGGGAGGCTCTGCTAGTCCTCGTAGTCTCCGATCATGGCAGTTGTGATTTTTATGAAGGTGGCAGTCTGCGGGTTTGTTTTATTGACCATTCATTGGGAATCTCAGGCACAGTGGAGTGTCCGTCGGAACCCCGACGTCGGACGATTGCAGAGGCCATCATTGATATCTCAGGTGGTCGGGTTGCAGCGCGCGATGGATATCCGCTAAGTCCTCAGGAGGTTCCCTGAACTCTGATATCATCGAAATGACTAACAATCTGAGCGTTCGGGAAGTGACGATGGACTCGGGAGATCCGTCTTCAAGCAGAGATGAGGGGGGAATTGTCCAGCAGGAGGCTACGCAGCATGAGGAGGAGATGACACCGCGACGGCCTCGGATGCCCCATCAATCCCCACCGCTACAGGTGATGTTATCATCGTGATAATGGGTATGTGTAGTGGCCTGATATGGCTGCTTACAGGAGGAGCCAGCAGAGCCCGCCCTTGAAACCGATGTTGTTGAGGATGTGCAAGCCCGAGGTGTTGAGAAGCCCGGGACGGAAGACCAACACCATGAGGATCTAGATGGATTGAGACGGATGATGATAGAAATGCAGTGCAGGCTAGATGCGCAGCAGAAGAGTATGGAGGCTCTTTCTCTGGCAATAGAGGTGAGGGTCGCTGAGGATATGTACGGGTAGAAGCTGTAGCCACTCTGGTCGGGACGGGTCCGGCGTGATGATCTCTCTGGATTCGAGCCCTGGCTTTGTTGGTCAGGGTATGCGAGGGGAGCTGCTGAGGCGGGAAGACTCAGAAAGAGCCATGCGAGAAGAGATTGAGAGTCTACGACAGCAGCTGCACTTGAGAGCTGTCGGGGGCATCCCTGGGAAGATAAGAGCATCATCAAGTACGCCTAGCAGCACCACGTCAGGTAATCGCACTCTTTCTGGCTCATGGTATTGAGCCTGAGATAGCAGTCGTAGTATTGATGAGCGCAGCTGATTGTAATGAGCCATTACAGAACTCCCTCAGAGCCTTCCCCTCATGACCACACGTTGAACGCAGAGGGGAACATGCCGGGTCACTTCAGTCCGCGAGCAATGCCGGATACAGAAAGCCAGGCTATTATCCCGATGAACAAGGTGTCTCGATGGGCGGATATAGAGGTATAGCTGGTGGTTGCCTCGATGCCGGTCAGCGGCAAGTATGCACCTCTAGGTGCCGCGTATTATCAACGTCCTCTCTCCAGCTCTCTCCCTCACGCCTTCGCTCAGTGGCTGCTCGACACCTCTGAGGCATTCAACCGACACTATAGGTCCCCATAGTCACTACTGGTCTCTGTGGACGAGGCTTCTGTGGATCAGATACGGAGGTCTGATAAGCGCTTTCCTCATCATTGGTGCCGCATGTGTCAGTCCCCATTGGGGACCCCCCAATCAATCTCTCCTTCGATGTCCTGTTGTTTCGTTATCAGTGGCACTTCTCTACAGTAGAGAGA